GCTATAAAGCTGGGATTCTCTTATCCTATTACATAAATCCGCTTAAACACGAATCAAGATGGACTTTAATGTGTTTTGTCTTTGTTAGCGCAACTGTTATCTTGTTCTTAGAAGTTTATAATGTTTAGTCTACACTTAATACCAGGTTTACGTCATACTGAAGTATATGTTGGTTGTAAAGCTCAATCCGAATTGTAAGTGCAAAGCCCGAAACAATATCCTTTTCAGTGTATTAATTTATGTACGTAAAATATTGTATTTTTTTGAATTGCCTTGTACAAGTAACCGCCTACAGTCTGGGCCCCATAACTTGAGCCGTTTTAACAAACAAATTTGTTTTTCTTTAGTTTTCGTGTTTCTTAATTGGCCAGGTTCTTCTGTCGGCGAATACCACTCTTAGAGAGATCCAATCACAAGACGAGGGCAACTTTTCTTTGTCAGAATTAATTATTATTCATCAATTCACAGCTGACCTGCACGCTAAATGTTCAAATATATTCGAAGTTTCTAAAATTGTAACAATTCACAGTAACGCTTAATATATGGGCTATGTCCACTTAAATTAATCTTCATTGCCAAACGATTGGAAGATATTAAGAAATGTTTATTTCCTCTTCAAGTAGACTGATTCAGATATTTCTATCGCATGTACAAACCTTATAGTCATTTTATCATTCTGTCTCCAGTGTGAAAATCTAAAGGATACAAATATTGTCGGCAAACAGCTTGCAAAGAAGGTTCATGGTTCACCCGAGTTTCGTCCGTGTTTGCAAACAGGCAACAAACAAACAGAACTAAATTCTGATAAAATCTGGCAGAATTAGACGGACGGAACATACAGCAGGCACGGAGATAAAAATGGATAAAGGCTTTTAGTTGAAAAATCACATAAGAAGAGACAAGTTGGGAGACTTAGGTAAATATTACCACTGTACATAAAAGGTAAATAACATTTTCAACAAATAGAAACACTATCGAAACTATTTCAACCGAACAACGTGCTAAGTGCTGATAGAATTTTTACGCCTTTTACGGAATTTGAAGGCTTATTAGGCCGACCGCGTCCTATCCTGAGCGCGAACAATCCTTACACAACTTCACTCGTAATTTCTTCAGGATCAACTTTAATATTATCACCCCATCTACGGACACGTTTTCCAAGTGTCTGGCATAAAATGTTGTATAGATATTTCATATATTTACATATCTTACAAAATAAACCATCTCGATTTGATCCTATTGGCAAAAACTACTCAGCGACTAGGAGCTAAACTTTTGTCTACTTCATTTCATTATACACCTTACACACTAAATTTAACTTTTTTAGATTGTAATTTCAACTACCATGTTCCATCTCATCTGTAGTTACTTGATGGAAACGCCAAGAGATGGCAGGACAAGTATTTTTTAACATACTAGTCAAAGACATTAACAGAGAAAGAAATGACTCTCGCACAAGACTGCATTAATTCAAAATGGCCGACTTAACGAATACGAAAGATCCATCTGATCGAATTCTGCGCTATTTTTACCGTCTATGTATCCGATCTTGACACTCTGGGCGATTGTCAACAACAAGTTGCGTGGACGTACACTACTAGGTAATAATATTCTGTCAGGCAACGAAAAGAGGTTTTACCACTCCTCCCAGAAACACAGCAAAATATTTCACCTCCTGATTGACACTTAATATTACCTGTTACAGATTATTTAAATTACAATCTACTGATCAAATCTTTGTACGTTGAAATCTTTGTTTAGGTCTATTTGTATTTACGTAATTTTGACCAAAACCGAAAGTTTCATTCCATATACAGATTCATCTCATCAAAAGCAATATTCATATAATAGGATTGGCTGATGATTATAGACTATTTTAATTTGTTTGTAACCAACAGTCAATTAGTTGATATGGATATTAATCCTACAAAGCTATCGATTAATGATTTACAAAAGCCACAGATTCGAACGATTCTTCGATTACCATTAGCAAAACCGATTATCAAACAACAGGAAACTGGTAGCACACTATTAATCATTTTAAAAAACAAACTGGATCCACAGATAATCGATATTCATAGTGAAAAGAGCGCGGATTTGAATTGAACTTGTAATCTGGATGCATCCATTTCAAATGTCACCCGAAGTGCCGTCTGGGTCGTCAATAAGACAGCGCCTTAAAATAGGCTACCTTTCACACTGAACAAAGAAGTTAACCTACAAGCCAAAAAATGATAATTATTATCAAGTATTAATAATATATAAAATTCACGCACAATAGTGGGGTCACTTTCTTCAGTCTATATTTATTAATTTAGGAAACTACGTGGCAAATTGGAGATATCTCTGGCAGCTAGTATGGAGATCACTGTTTTCTAGACTGTTGTGTCATTGTAGAAGATTACCGACATTTTCAGAGGTAGATTTTGTCTCCAGGATCAGGGCGATTTGCATTTGGTATTAACCCGACACCACTTTTATAAAAGAAAAATATTTTGTATAAAAATAAGGGGTTCTTAAGTTCAGGCAAACACCCAGTGACCACGAAACTGTAATTGTTGGCAGAAAACATAAAGTGTTGAGCTGCAACTGAATTCAACTAAGAAGATACAAACTTAACCGAGCATTAACGCCATAAAACCAACCATTGAGATTATAATCCATTGTGGCTGGAAGTGTTTACCGCTGAGAGATCAGAGAGATAGTGAGCTTCTAAATATTCTTAAAGAACCACAAAATAATTAAGGTAATTTTCGTTGTTTGAAACATTTCTGTATTATAATTTTTTTTACTATGTGTGTTAGCCTGAGATCCAGAATGTGCCCAGAGACGCCTCTCACCATCAACATTCAAAATGAAAACATATCAGACTACAATTACTAGCAGATGAAACAACGGATGTATTTTCAGTAGAACAGCAGTGTATTTATGAAGATGTAATTATGAATGACTTCCTAAAATTCTAGTCTTTGAAACGTATGGGTTGAGGTTTACGTAAGGTGTTATCAAAATACCTATTTTGTAATTAGATTCCTACATGGACAAAGTTATAATGGAACTTCTCCTGCGAGTAGTAAGTTTAACGGTGTGCAAATGCATGCCAGATACAGGCATCCACCTTCAATGTGAATGTAACGATCAGTGAGACATGTTCACTTTCTCCTTTCAGGAACTGTACGATAATTGTCAAATAACTTAAAATACTTTCTTCTCTCCTTGTTAGGTTAGAACAAGCACAAATTGGTGACAGTTTTTCAACATTACGTCATATTAAAACGTATTTTAAGAAAATACTTACCCTTACTAGCGACACAGAAAATCATGGATCAAACGGATCGTGTGTTTGTGTACGTAAGTAGATCTACACTTATGCACGTCGGCACACACACAGACACCTACATTTCAGATTATGCAAGAATAAACTGTTTACACTGAACGATTTCTTTGTACTCTAGTTAGACAGTTTTAGTTACGTCACTGCAATGAGCAGTGGCGTAAACTTATCATCACCATTGAGCCCTCCATATCAGTATCAGGGGTTGAACGGCTG